CACATATATATATCGTTGTGTGACATTTCCGTTTCATCTTTTCCATAGGATTTTTCTATTCACACCCTGTCCAAAAAGTTGCTTCGCTTCAAAAATCTCAAGTAACTTTACTATCTAACCCAGAAAACTTTTAATTACTGACAAATCTCTCACTTGTTCGGTCTACTATACCCAGAACTCCAATTAACACATTTAAGTATATTTATGTAACTGCTTGAATAACTGTGTTTTAAACGTCGCTCAACCGGTTTTTCGCAGTCGGCTAACGGGGAGCTTGCACATAAGGCCGCATACAGAAAGAAAGATGGCCTACCAGCGCTTATAGGCACCGGTCCGCGCAGGTAACCGGCGCAGGCATTTCTATGGACCAGCGCTGATAAGAACTCGTGGACACTGACGGTACGGCTGGTCCACAGGTTCAAAGTCGCTCAGCGCGCTATGGAAAGGGCTATGCTCGGCATTTCTCTGAAGGATCGCATCAGAAATGAGGTAATCCGACAGAGAACCAGAGTTATCGACATAGCCCACCGGATTAGCAAATTGAAGTGGCAGTGGGCTGGCCATATTTGCCGAAGAACCGATAACCGTTGGGGTAGACGAGTTCTGGAGTGGAGACCGCGTCTAGGCAAACGTAGTGTAGGAATTCCTCAGGCACGATGGAGTGACGATTTGCGCAAGGTGGCTGGCAGGAGCTGGATGCGAGTAGCCCAAGATCGATCTGAGTGGCGTGCATTTGGAGAGGCCTATGTCCAGCAGTGGACTATGATGGGCTGTTGATGATGATGATGATAAGAACTCAGATGGAGAATGGTAAAATGCTATGTGTTGTCTGTATTCATGTACGGCGTCGAAAGCTGGACCATGAACAAAACCATAGAGGCAAAAATAAACGCTTTTGAGATGTGGCTCTACAGAAGAATGCTCAAAATATCGTGGAGAGACCATGTAACTAATATAGAAGTTTTGCATAGAATAAAGAAAAAATTGGAACTTTTGGAAACAGTTAAGAAAAGAAAGATCTCATATTTTGGACACATTTATCGAAATAATAAATATCAAATTTTGCGAAGAATACTAGAGGGGAAGATAGAGGGACAAAGAAGTAGAGGATGGAGAAAGTTAACCTGGTTGGACAATATAAAGAACTGGACAAATATTGAGGACGCTGCAATTCAATTCAATTCATTTATTGCAGACCATAATGGAGATACAAAGGTGGTAATATTAACAGATAAAAAGTGCATTATGGACCCTGTAGTGTAGGGTATCGCAATTGGAAGAGGAGAGGACGTCTTATTCATAATTCCTTATTGTGATATAATTTGTTATATCCAATGAATTAAAACCCATAAAAATTATTTATTCATACTACGCCAATAAGATATTGTATAATTAGATTTATGATTTATATACGATTATTAATTATATAAGTATTGTATTATATCTTTTTATAATAAAAATAATATAGTATTTATTATATTTATTCCATAGTAGTTTTATCATTTAGGTATTCCTGGAGGCTATAACAGCATTTATTCAATAGCATTAGCTTAATTTTTTTAATAAATACATTGTAATTTTATTCATTTTTTAAATTTTCAGGTAATTTATTATAGATTATTACAGACATATTATAAGTGCTCGATGAGCATAATTTAAGGCGAGCCAACCTGAGCAGGATGGCTCAGGATAGGGACAAGTTCAGAGGGATGGTCGCCGACGTCCGATGAGGACAGGGCACTACAAGAAGAAAGAAGAGCGCTGATAAGCGTCGGAATTTGTCGGTAGGGTTCCCATCCGTCCGAATTAGTCCGGACTTGGTCCAAAACCTTTAAAATATCCGGATTTTATCAAATTACATTGAATATGAATAAGTAATATTGATTTAAATATTTATATATACAGGATGTTACAAAAATACAAATAAAGATGGAAGGGCGTTGAAGTACATCATATAAGGAGTCTTCTCTAATTTTCCTAAAATATTTGCATGAAGTTTTAATTTTTTATAAAAACAGTTATTTTTCTCGAACTAGTGACGTGTCTTAAAATGATCGATATTTTTAATAAATCATTAAACATAACTGTTTCTATAAAAAGTTAATACTTTATGCAAAAAAATTAAGAAAATTAGAGAAGTCTCCTTATATGATTTACTTCGGACGCCCTTCCAGCGTTATTTATATTTTTGTAACACCCTGTATAATATTTGACGACCTCAATGGTCGAGTAGTTTGTACGCCGAGTTCACCGACCCGAGAGGTCCCGTGTTCGAATCCCGGTGGGGGCAGATGTTTATGTGATGAATACGAGCATTTGTACTCCAGTCGTGGATGTGTTTAATATGTATTTCTATAAAATATACATATATATGTACTGTATATATACATATAGTATCCCATAACACAAGCCCAATGCTTACTTTGGGGCTACGCGAATTGGTGTGAGTGTTGGAAATATTTATTTATTTATTTTAATACCATACCATTGTAACTAAGTAATGGTACCATTTTGTGACAAAAAAGTCCGGACATTTTTCAAAATATCAGGATTTTTCTCAAGACTTTTGAAATTCCTTAATGGTAACCCTACTTGTCGGCGAGGTTCAGCGCTTATAGGCGCTGGTCAATAGAAATGTCTGCGCCGGTTACCAGCGCGGACCAGTTCTTATAAGCGCTGGTAGGCTACCAGCTTTATTTCTGTATACCGCCTTAGCCGCACAGGGCTGGCGTTATCAATTAATATGGCAAGAGACGAAAGTGTTCAGTACCCCTAGCACGAACCATTATCGAATTCGAACAGTACCCTTAGCACGAACCAAAATCGAATTCGTATCGTTTTCGAGTCTGAAATGTCATTGTCAAATGTGTACTGATTTTTAGTTTTCGTTACGTACTTTGTGCCGCTGCTGTCCAAGTTTCTATACAAAATAATGGTTCGTGCTGAGTGTACAGTACCCCTAGCATGAACCATTATCGAATTCGAATAGTTTGCAAACCGAAATATCAATGTAATTTTTTGTAAAAATCGGCTACTATCTTATCTATTTTTATATCCTTAAGTGATAATGATTCCCTAACCATTCCAAAATATCAAAAATGCACAACGTTAATATTCAAGTGTTCACTACTGCCGGCACTCCCGGAGTGCAACCCGTCGTTGTTTTTATTATTGTTTTTTTTTAATTATGTAATTATGTTAATATATATTTTTATTTAAATATAAAATAATAATATATAAAATATAAATAGGCTGACTATGATGATATTTTTATAATTATTATTGTTTGATTGATTTTTTTTATTATATCATGAACAGATACTTTTAATTTTTCATTTATCTCCGATTATTATTTTTCTTAACTGTGAAAGTGGCGGTATTCTGCCACGAGTTGAGAAAATTGTTTTCATATTTTAATTTTTCATGGTTTCGTTTTATCATATTTATAAGGTAATGGTTTTTAATTTACACATCTAATTAATATATATAAGTATGTAGAAAAACTAATCAGGATTGATTTAAGACATAAATGAAGCCTGGGTGTACAGTAGAACTCGAATAATAAAGGAAATGGGCCGTTTTTTTTTAAGGATAAAAATCCTTTTCAGTTTATTTTTGCCCTCAAAAATTATCGTCCCTGCCCCTTTAACATGACCACCGAAACAGGATATGGATACAGCAGACTCCACTGTAGTCTGACAGTTAATGCCAATATATCGCTTTACCATATCCTCTAGCATGACCACCGAAAAGGGATATGACAAAGCGATATATCGGCATTAACTGTCAGACTACTGTCAGACTCCACTGCAGTCTGACAGTTAATGCCGATATATCGCTTTGTCATATCCCGTTTCGGTGGTCATGCTAGAGGATATGGTAAAGCGATATATTGGCATTAACTGTCAGACTACTGTCAGACTCCACTGCAGTCTGACAGTTAATGCCGATATATCGCTTTGTCATATCCCGTTTCGGTGGTCATGCTAGAGGCGCTGGTGTAGAATAGTATGAGCTATTGTATATTTACTTTGGAAATAAGTAATTATCCAAAATCTATTCAGAATCCAGATTTATTAGAATAGAAATAGGGGGAGAACGGTTTTGTGTAAGAACTGAAGGGAAAAACCACCTTTATGTCGTACCATCCTGTGTCATGTAGTTCTCAATATTTATCACTTATATTTTAATCTAAACTTTTTAGTTATTATCAGGGGGCCATTCCACCTATTGGAATTGCTATGGTTGTAGCAATAGTTTATGATTTTATTTTATTATTTCCGACCGCCAAAGGTAAATAAATATTTCCAACACTCACACCAATTAGCCTAGCCTCAACGTAAGTACTGTAAGGCTTGTGTTATGGGATACTAGGGTAATGGATAGAATACATATACTGTACATATATAAGTATTTATATAGAAATACATATTAACTATCCATGACTGGAGTACTAATGCTCGTATTCATCACACAAACATCTGCCCCTACCGGGATTCGAACCCGGGAGACCTCTCGAGTCGACGACACCATGAAACCCGGCGTACAAACCACTCGGCCACGGAGGTCATCAAAGCTTTTTTAATGTCTCGCGCCGTTTTTTTTCTGTGCGCTCTTTTCATTGGTAATAACAATAATAAAGAAAAAGAGTGTGAGGCATTTGAAAACCTTCAGCGGTAAAAAAACAAAATGAAATCATAAGCCATAGCAATCCCGAGAGGCGGTAGGCCCCTGGTCTATTAGCTAATACCGTACCTATAAATACTAGACAGTCAAGTCTGCGTCCTATGTGTGTGCAACTTTATTTGTCGCAACAATTCCACCGACAACTCGAGATTATGTAAAAATATTCAAATCGAAAACATTCGGCACACTTGCAATGTAAACAAATGCAATTCATTCACTATAAATAACGTGGGAAACGGATACAAGCAAATGAAATTACAGAACTGTATCAAAATTCTTACTTATATAAAAAGTAAATTAAAAAAAAAACAAACCCAAAAGGTGAAGTTTACACTCAAAAATAGAACACCGATGTACAGTTACGAAACTAAATCCACATCACTGATTTAAAAAAAAAGTGGGAAATAAAAAAAGAAAATGTCACTGCCAAATTAAAAAAGAAAAACAAACGAATATATATGCCGGTTTGCGCGGTGAAATGTCAAACCGTTGCGGTGGTACGTCCGTGTTTACGCGCGGTTTTTACCGAACTAAAGGTTGATTATTTGTAAGAACAGTTAGCTAGCTTAGCATGGCCCGGCGATTGTCGTGACGGCAACAACACAGCGGCGAAAGTAGAGATGTTGTTCAATGCTGATGGGCCGGTGATGTGCGCAAATAATTTACGCTTATTAGCGGAGTGCGTTGACCCCGTTTCATTTCTCTTTGACCGGCAAACACATTTCGGGCAAAGTTTGGCTCTATACGTAGATGAATCTTTTGTTGTACTTATGAATAATGTACGCTCAATGTGCTTATTGCTATAATGGCTTAAGCAGGGGCGTATTTACCAGAGCCATGGAGCCATGGCAGGCTGCGATGGAAAAGCCATATAAAGGCATTCGTTACCAACCTATATTTTGATTAGATTTACTAATTCCGTGGGGGGGGGGGGGGAGTCGTAATTGTTCCGGGTGCCAGATTTCAAAGTACGCCCTTGGACCTTTCCAATTGACATGATACGGAAAAACTAACTAAATTTTCGGCTTTGGGCAAGCTTTCTAAATAAAATACCAAAAATTCAGTTCTGTAACTCATTCCGTGTACGATCTAATCAAGACCATTTAGACCCGTGCGTGACATACCGACAGAGAGACAGAGTGTGCAATAGGGTTCCTGTTTTACCCTTTGATCACGGAACGCTAAAAACGCCCACTACTACGGTTGTCAGATGCTGGCTTATCAATTCCGGGACATTTGTACTTCCCCTGAAAAAAATAAAGCATCAAATCATACCCCCCATCACCCCCAGAATCAAAACATCAAGCAGGCCAGCGGTGTCATTCGTTATTAGTTTATTTTGTTAAGAATCTAGCACATTATCGGAATCCGCAAAGTTCCGGGACAATCTTGGAAATCCCGGCCATCAGGCAATCCTAACCATGCAGCAAGCACAGTGCGGATTTTGTGCTAATTGCTGTATATGCGGCCAGTACTAACGTCTTAAGAGCCCTTTCACATTTTTTGCAAAAAGTCGTAATTTTTGAGCGCCTCGTTTACCCCGTTAGAAGAGATTTTGACTATTGCCAATAGAAGAAAACAGTAGATGTATTCTTCCTATTGTAAGTTAATGTAGAATAGTTGCAAATACTATTTTCCTTTTTTGTACTGATCGTTCTACCGCAGGTAGTTTACGGCAAAAACGTTATATGCACAACTTCAAACGCCTGAATCTCTAAATAATGTTCAATAAATTATATTTAATTAATTACAATGACGTTAGAAATATGTTTTTGTTGTAATGTATTAGAATTTTGTTTTTCCATCTCGTTAATTATCAAAAAAAAACATCTAACCTCCGTGAGTTTACTCAAAAAACAATGCAGGTTTACCTTGTATTTTGATATTGAATTAAATAGAATTACTATCAAAAACTTTAATAAAACTAATCTATCATCATTGAACTACTGAAATATGTACCTATATATTTTTATAATTAGTTCTTTTTAAAAATATTACATACAACGAAGGAAAAGAATTTTGTGTGATTGAGTAACAAAAATACAAACTTTCACATCTATAAAGTTAGTAGGATACAATGTCGGTTCTATGTCAGCAGGAGGATCCATATTTTATGTTTATTATGCTAGACCATAAACTAAGGAATGTAAATCTCTGCGCAGACTGCATTCTGCTACCATTTTATTTTAAACGCTATTTCTTTAAATAAGGTATTTACCTATAATTTATATGCGGAGCTCGATGGAAGGAAGTGGTTAGCGTGTTCGCTATGCGATAATAAGTTTTTGGTCATCCATCCAATGACCGACTGTTGCTAAAGTTGCTTAACTTCCACGAACGCAGGACAAACGCGATCCGAACGATTTAAATTTTTCAAATTGACAGTTTATTTTAAAGAGCTCGATGGCGCAAGTGGTTAGCGCGTTCAGCTGCGATCGTTGAACTAAAGCAACTTTCGCAGTGGTCGGTCATTGGATGGGTGACCAAAAATTACTATCTCGAGCTCCTCCGTGCTTCGGAAGGCAGCACGTTAAGCCGTTGGTCCCGGCTGCATCTACAGTCGTTGGCACCCACCAATCCGCACTGGGCCCGCGTGGTGGATCATGGCCCTATCTCCCTATTCCATCCATAAGAAAGGTCTGTTCCCCAGCAGTGGGGACATTAATAGGCTGATGATGTATATTTCATGAAACGTCAAACGAACCAAAAAAAAATCGAATTTGACTCATTCGTGACAGAATGCGTAAAACACAGAACACACAGTCAGATGGGTCTTGTAAGTGGGGTAGGCGCGCCACAGTTATGTGTGAGCAAATGCTCATAACTTGACCAAAACTTGGTTCTGATTGCGTCGTTGCTCTCGGGTGTGAGCGCTGATTGGTTCGATTGTTTGACGTTTGATTCCCTATTATCTATTAGGTAGAAATCTAGTGGGGATGAGTCGGCGACATCGGTTCTCGTACAAACGGTCTTTGATTACCCTTCTAACCTCTACACGGAGAGGAGGAGAGGGGAAACTTGTTGGATATTGTATACTAAGTACATGTTTTATATATGTATATAAGTGTGAACAAAAAATTAAGACATTGCGTAAAATTTGTTACATACATAATTATGTTATACCTTGGTGTAAACGAGGGGTTAGTTAAATGCTTAAAAATAAAAATATAATATAATTCATTTCATTAACGCCAAAGTGAACAAATTATAGTAATTTAAAAAGAAAGTTTACTAGAAAAAAAATTCACGAGAACAGGGCAGCAGACTTGACAAAACATAACTATAATTGCTATTTCTTCTTTCAAATGTTTAATACTTGTAAAAGACATTTGACATTGTGGGTTACATACAATGCGAATAGATGGGGCTGCCTTGCAGCTTAAGAAAGGCTAGAAAGAATCCGACCCGGCCATTAGGGCCGCGGTAGCATGATGGTCAGTGCATTCGCCCGGATAGCGAATGGTGCGGGTTCTAGTCCCGTCTGCTGCCTGGTCCACGTGAATTTTTTTATCTAGTAAACTTTTCTTTAGATTTAAATATCCAGCAGTTAAATGCTTAAAAAAACATAATTCATAGTTTACCTGACCTCCTTAATTTTAGATGTTTTATCCAATTTCACCTTAAGACCCCTTGACTTGATCTACAAACATAGTCCAAGTGGCACGCAATAAATAACTTAGAGAAGATAACATCTGTAAAAGCTGGAAATATTTTAGGCTTCTCGGAATGGATATGAATGTGCGCCTTTTTAAGCTAACAAGGCATATGAAGATATTTTTTTTTATTTTTAATGAAAACTTCTTTAGCGGCGTTGTACATTTTTTTCTGTATGGGCAAAAAATGTTAGTCTCGCGTCATGACACGTGGGCTGATAATAGTGGTAATATTTTATTTTATAGTTTTATAATAATAAGTCTCTATCTAGGACGTCCAGGTGGCAGTTTTATTGCGAAGAAAATGCATTTTTTTTACAATAGATGTCGCTAGGTGTGCTTAAATGAGAAATTCTGAGAGATAAACTTTTTAATGTAATATAAATTGTCATGTTTGTGTACGATAGCGCAATAAATAAATATTGAATTCTACCACATAAATGATAGTACTTTAATACTGATAATCAAAGAAATTCGTGCAAAATTATTCCCTTACCATTTCAAAATATTAAAAATGCACAACGTTCATATTCAAGTTCTCACTTCTGCTGGCACTCCCGGAGTGCAACCCGTCGATTTTTTTTTATAGATAGGTCCGACAAATGACTCCGTCCCACCAGATGTTAAGTGAAGGTGAAGTCCAGACGCGATGATAACTGATACAGCAGTTCTACCTGCCACACCAGCCATCCTCACCCTGCCGGCCTGCATGTTGCTTCTTCGCGCCTCTTTTAAAGGATCCCAGGTTGTAAGAGGGAGGGAACACGTGAGAGGGCAGAGCGTTCCATTTACGGATAGTGCGACAAAGAAATGAGCCAGCTTTCTTTGTACGCGTTGGAATTGTGGCCACAGTTAGGTATATATACATACTTGTATGAATGTTTTAAGTCGCAAAAAGTGCTTTTAAGTAGGTAAGTAATTTTATTAGGAACTACCACAAAATACAATACAATACACAATACTTTATTGAAAACACCACAACACAGAACAGAAATGAGGGACATTACAATTGTAAAAAAAAAGAGTCCTTCTTATGACCGCCCATTGAAAGAAATCGCTTTTAGCAATAATGCTAAAAGCGATTTCTTCCAGACAACCTTTGGATGGAGAGGATTGAAAGAAAGCTGGAGTCGGCGGTGTCAGTAAAAGAAACAAGGGATTTAAACGAATTTGTGAATTAAGTATAGTATATACATACATAAATACACATCATATATACATATTATATACCTATACATATTACATATATATACATAGACTACACATATATAGGTTTAGTCCAGTCAACAGAGATAAAAATGCAGCTACATCGACAAATAGTGATTCACAACAAGATTTGTAACAAACAACAAAATGTACTTTATTAAACTAGAAAAATCTGCGTTGAAAAATTGGTTTCCCATAGAAACTTTCACTCCTTTTTCACCCCTTTTTAGCACGATTTAAATGATGATAAAAAAAAATGGTTGCCTGTAAAGTCGGTTTTACGGGCGAAGATTTTACGTGACAACGTCTTTTTCTCGGTAGAATATTTATTGATATGAATATAATTAAATTGCACAATAGGAACAAGGAATTGAATGAAAATAAGAATTGCACAAATTTTAACTATAGAAATATATTTTGTTTACTAAAACATTGTACATGTAAACTTAAACTTAACACGAGAGACTCATCGTAACGTTACCGAGCGTTACACTTTTTCATAAGTGACTCCCAGCCGCAACCTAATTTAAGACGTTGTCACGTCAAAAAATATTCTATGCCCTTTCCCGGGATTCAAACTATATATTGAAAAGAAAATAACGAGCCGTTACCGCCAAATTATCGTAAGCAACACTTTTGTCGAAGTGCGTTTTTTGTGGAAACTAATATTTTAAACCGTAACGGACCCATCTCTGTTGATATTTCCCTCCAAAAGAACACCGTTATAATATAACGGAAGGAAGGTTGGAGGGAAATATTAACAGAGATGGGTCCGTTACGGTTTAAAATATTAGTTTCCACAAAAAACGCATTTCGACAAAAGTGTC